TTCAATTAAAACCGCTCTATACATCTGCCTCACCGTACAGAAACGCGTATCATTAAAATAAATGAGAAATTTGCTCTGTAAATATATGCGCAACACTTAAAACGCAATTCTTCTCTCGGCTCACTTACCGACGTCCGATTAACGGGTGCGATTCGGCTTAACCCGTTATACCTAAAATAGCGCGCGTGCACGTCGGTAATAATCCGCCCCAACACGAGACTCTCGTGCGATTGTCTGGTTCTCAACGGTCCTTTATTTAATTTTCGGATATAATGGATTAAATCTCCGTGTTGGCGCGAGACGCGTATCTCTCGCTGGCTCCGCCTCGGACATTCAACTCGCACGAGTATATGCTAGCTGCTGCCGGCAGGGAGAATCGAAAGCTCATAGACGTTCATACTTTCCCGAGTTATTATTCAAATCGCGAATAAATATTTCACAGCACGTCTCTAGGAGCGTAATTCGCGCTTACAAGTAAACCTACTCAAAAGTTACTCCGATTTCTTTCTGATTTGGCACAAATGTAGAAGTGCAAAAAATATTTAGGTTATATTTTTTTCATTTTGGCCTACTTTGAGTTTCACGGGCAGTTTATAGCTTTTTAATGTTCTCACTATCATCAAGTTCAACAAAAATGCATAAGAAATAAAATTGAATACAAGATATAGTTAAATAATTTTAACAAAATCGGCATAGCTGAGAAACGAACCATTCTAAATTTCTTTAGCCGAGATTCCAACCGAAATATTTTAAATCTGTGCTAAATTAGTCAAAAATGATTCGAATCTTAACCAAACCGAGAAATTATTTGTATAAATAATTTTTTTTTCAACTTTTTACATGTTTTGATTAAACATTTTGTTATTTATACAAATAATTTTATACATTTAACTTCGTATTCATAATCAACGAAAACACCTATATAAAATTATTTGTATAAATAATAAGATGTTTAATCAAAACATGTAAAAAGTTAAAAAAAATTATTTATACAAATAATTTCTCGGTTTGGTCGAGATTCGAACCATTTTTGACTATTTTGGCACAGATTGGAAATATTTCGGTTGGAATCTCGGCTAAAGAAATTTAGAATGGTTTGTGTCTCAGCTATGTCGATTTGTTAACATTATTTAACTATATCTTGTATTCAACTTTATTTCTTATACATTCTCGTTGTACTTGTTGATGATAGGAGTGAGAACATTAAAAGGCTATAAACTGCCTGGCTATAAGGCTATAAATTCAAAGTGGGCTAAAATGGAAAAATATGACGTAAATATTATTTGTATTTCTACATTTGTGCCAAATTAGAAAAAAATAGGATTGTACCTATTGGATAGGTTTACTTGTTAATCGCGAGTAACCTCATCGGGCGATTCGCTTTTCGAGCGGCCGCGCCGCTCTCGTCGCGAATAACACCATCGTGTTCGGGAGGAATCGGCTCGCAACAATTGTCGCTTCGCCACGGCAGTTCTGTATTTAATTTCGCGATATAACGGATCGCCCCGCGTGTCTGTCGCCGACTCGGCAGGTTGTTTCTCCATGTCAGACTCGTTACGCTGGGATGGCGTGAGGATCGAAGGGGAACGAACGAAACGGGTCGACGAGTTTCGGTCGGCGTATCGTAGCAAAGGGCGGAAAAGGACTGTGCGGAAGGTAGTCGCGAAAAGTAATTTCATCACCGCGCATGGAGCGGAAGCGGCGTGAGGGTGTGTGCTTCGGGATCGCGCCATGGCACATAATGAAACGGCGCGCTGCACGGCGCGCATTCGGATTTCCGAAAGTTTATTCCGGCCAGTTCGTATTGCTTTGCGACCTCGCGTCTCACGCTCGCGTAACGCGACCAGATTGCGCGACACGCACACGGCCCGTCTCTCTTGCGTTCGTTCAGTTCATTTTGTTATCTCTTCTTCATTTTTGGGGGCTTTTCGTCGTGGACGATGCCGCGCTTCACCCGTTTCATACAGCTTGGAGCGTAATTCGTGGCGCAATTGTGATTCCCTCTTCATGTAGAAATAGATAAAAGATGGGAAATATTCTTTTTTTCATGCGCAGCTTTGTTTTTTAAAGAAACTTATCTTTAAAATCAATTTTCTTGGAAAAGCTGAAAATTTTATTCTATGTTTGTTATTCGAGATCTCTTAATTATTACTTGTGTTATATGTGTGAAGGAGAATCACCTCTTTTTCAACAAGAGATCAGTGCAATATGTAAAATCAAAATTTCTTTTCGTTGCTATTTTCTTTGAAAAATTTTGAGAAATAGAATATATCTAATTTTCATCTGTATTTGCTGTGTTAGTTGAAAAATGCAGTAGTTTAAGTATATTAAAAGATATGATATTTGATATTTTACCACGAGACTTTTCCGAGCATAATTAAGAGGTAATTTTATTTCATTTTAATTAGAAGTGCTCTGTGCATCTACCACTGTCCAAAAACTGCATTACAACGAGAAGGAAAAAACAAATACGCAAATGGCTACAAAATCTCCCTTTTTTCTTCTTTTTAGTAAATGAGAGATATATTTGACACATATACGCGCAAGCTATATCAGGTGACCCGAACAGTCTAATTGCGAACTAAGGAATCGTAAACGAAGGAGGTGGTAGCCCAGCGAAATTTCATCAGGGGAAAACCCGACGTCGTTTCGTTTCTACTTTATAGACGAGAATCGTCCATTACTTTCACGGCGACTCGGGAGCACTAAAATCGTCGCGAAAACGAGTCTCCTTTGCGAAACGACTTTCTGTCGAGCTAAACACGATCCGTGTCTCAGTGCGATGCGCAGGAGCGATCGTCACGAGACCTTTCGCGCGTTTCCTCTCTTTCGTCCTCCCATTGTTATTCCGCGAGAACACCCGATCGTGGTCGTTTTCATGTCATTTTGTCGCCGCGTCCGCACGCACTGCCAACGTAGTGCCGCGGTCACTGCCGTTGCTCGGCCGTAAACAGGACGAGATCGACGGACAACGAAACACCGAAAGATCCCTTTACGATCACGCCAGTCCGATCACGATGACGTGCGACTAAGATAGAGGTTCGTGACAGCAGGTGGGAAGGAAGGTGCTCACAACGATGGCACTCTATTCCGGGGTTTCGTTCTTGCCCTACTTCGTCCTTGTCGGCGGGGCGCAGAGAGGGCGGCTTTTGTTCGCCTCCGTTCGCCTCCGGTTCTCCTAGGATCGGATCAGATTACCGGCCACGAGGCGCTTTACCCCGGGAAATGCGGGCTTCCATTGCACCGAATCGGCGACGTAAGGGGATTGGGGGTAACGACGAGCGCTGCGATACCGGCTACGTTTCACCCGTGTACCTGGCAGCTTTCGGCTCTCGTTCTGCTCATCCTCCTCACATCCACCAGCTTCTCTTCCTCTTCCTGTTCCTCCACATTCCCGCCTCTGCTCCTGCTCCCTTTAACCCCCCGACCTCGCGTGAGTTCAACCCCCGAGCGTTCTTTTCTTGGTTAACGCACGGCCCGCTCGGACGCGCTCCTTCGTTTCGCCACCGACCGAGCTCGATTCCGCTCGCCGAATGGGATACTCCCGCGAGAGGGACCGCGAAAGAGGATGGCAGGAAACGACCCCGCATTACGGTCTATCCTGTTCGGTCGAGACTTTTCGGTCTGCCGGCGTGAAACGCTTCACACGGCCGGAGCGCGCGGATTCCGCCCCGGATTAATTAAGATTGTACGAGCTCGAGGCTCACTGTATCTCGTAGATGAAGCGATGAATATTTCAGGCTGGTGTTCCAACAGGTAGTGGCTAACGTCCGAGTGCAAGAGTTCGCACGTATAAAATCTGTATTTTCTCTCGTGAACTAGCCAGTGGAAACTATTCTGAACCGCGCTGTATGTGCGAGCTGTACTTGAAAGATGGGATTTGTGTCTGACGTTGCCTGCGGCAGGCATCGCTTCGGCGATCAAGCGAAGGAAAAGCAGAGAAAAAACAGTTAAGGTTCTTTAGAACACACAGTGAATCGAGAGACGACTCGACACATTGCGAAACGGTGTCTCTTGTCACTAGTCGCAACGAAATGAAAAGCAAAATTAACTTTTGCAGAAGAGATGGAAAAAATAAAACAGAAAAACGAGACGCGATATATTTTTTAGTACAAATTATTGCGCGTGACACTATTAGTTGCATTAAGAACATGGCCAGCTCATTTGCTTCTCTAACTCCTCACCGCCCTTTATTTTTCCAAGCGGATTTGTCAATTGTTGTGGAACCGTCGCATATCCGAACATGCAATACAAACTTTCGGGCAGGAAATAAAAGTATAATTTAAAATATACATACGTATATACGTAAAACAAGCAAAAATATATATAACAGGTATACACTCAGAGAAAAATATGTGAAAAATAAGAAATATTTATTCGGTCGGCACTAATCATATATTTGCTTATATACATATTTGTACAATAAGAAAATAGTTTTTTAAGTAAGAAAAATACATATTTTTCTTAAAACCGTAGCTTTTCATTAAATAAATCGTTTATATTTTATTTAAATAAAAAAAATTGGTTTGAAGTAAAGAAACAACGGTTTTAAAAAAATATAAACGTCCTCATTTGAAAAGACTGTTTTTTCAATGAAAAAGCATATGGTACGGATAAAAATATGTTATTAGTACCCACCAAATAAATATTTTTTAAAATAAATATTTGATCAAACTTTGATCAAATATTTGTTTTATTTTTTAGAAATGTTTTCTTTCAGTGCAATCGTCGAAATTAAAACTGAACGTCGCGTACAATAAAATAATCCGATTAGTCGATTTCATTGAAATGTTTTCAGACAAACAACAGTGATCTAAATGCAGATATTTTTCCGGGTCATCGATCTTCGTTGCTTCGTAAAATACACAATGCTAGATTAATTAATCTCTATGTCGGTGTTCGATGTTGGAAGGCATTGAGCTGTTAGGACGATACGAGGTATCGCGGAAATATTAGGTTCCATGGTGAAAATTCTCAGATTTGGGATATCTCTCGCTTACCCGTAACGACGACGTTGATCTTTTTCACGAGCGGCGGGTGTGTGGCGACTTGGCACTTGTACAAGCCGGAGTCGCGCGGGCTCGCGTACAGAATCTGCAGCCTCCAGTTGCTGGGATACCTGCGGCATCACACGCGAGAATGGTATCAGTGTAGAGTAGACGATGATTTTGGGCTCACGTTCAGAGGTCGTGAAGGGAAATCGCTAAAGAAGGGAAAAGAGAAGCGCCAACGAGGCAGACGCACGAATTTGCAATGAAGCAGCCGGGAAGTGAATGGTGGAAAATCGACGGGAAATTGAATTTTATTTCTTGTCACTTGAGCTTCCCGATAATACACTCCGCACGCTTCATTGGGCGACGGGTAAAACGTCGTCGCAGTGAGGTCGTCGCGTTACCGCGACGAGACGGCGCGATTCTGGATTTTCGCGGCGCAAAGCGGCGTGCAAAATGGCTGATTTAATCCCCGGCTGAAGGAACCTCGTCCCCCGTTCGCGGCCTCGACGTCTCTCGCGCGTTGATTCCACGCGCACCACGATGTAAAAGTCGACCGTGACGATAATTCAACGCTGACGATGAGATTACGCAGCTCGCCGCCGCGGATGATAACGAATTATGATAATATTCGTCCGGGCAATTTCGCTGCTGAATTTCGCCCCTCGTCGTCGCGTTCGCTCGCAATTCTGCGTTCTAATGAAAGACGTAAGGTAACGAGCCTGATTTTGGGTCATTTCGGATCAGAGTTATTTTCATTTATATCAATTTATCGATGGAACATTTGATTATGTTTTGATTATAATGTGTGCCTTTTAAATATATCAATGTATGAATCAAGTTTGACCCATAATTGCACGGAAAAAACAATTCTGTTGGTGCAACCGAATTTTCGGTTGCGCAGGGATTAGACGAAAATTCGGCTATAGAAACAGAAAAATTCCTTTATGAGGCTTCTGTATAGTCATTTGTTGTCGGTTGCCTCAACCGAGTTCTAATATCGTTAAATGTTCAGACGAATATTTTCGGTTGTGACAACAGAAATATTAATTTTCATAACAGAGATATCGCTTCTGATCACCTAATTTTCAGTTGGTTCCTATTTGGTGGCACCAACTGAAATTTTTTTGCGTGTGGTAGACTGTCACCTTACTATACTGAGAAAAAAATACTAGCAAATTTCTTCGCGAGATATAAAGTGTATTTTTGTGAAGTAAAGCTAATTTCTATGAAATAAACTTCATATCCCGCAAGTAAATGTTCAAATATTTGGTTCTCAGTGTATGGCGTCTCGAGGACGAAGCAAACTCGTTCATTTCTCCGCAAAGTCGATGCGCGCGCGCGCACGTAGGCGATGGAGATTTATCGCGACTTACCGAAAATTGAGACTGATCCTCTGGTCGACGCTGTACGGTATCCTGCCGACCGTCAGCAAGCGAAAGGAGTCCTTGCTGTGCTGCAGCCACGTCACCTGCGAACAGAGAGAGAGAGTTGCCGCTGTGTTGGCATGAGTTCGCCAGAACGTGGCACGCAATATGAAATCCTTATTGACGTTACTTTCCTCCGGTACAATGCGATCGCTATAAACGACGGCGCTCGCGGGCGCTCTAAATATGAAAGTAGTCAACTCCTTCGAGCAATTGTTACGGCCGACTGAACAAAGACTCGGACGAGACGGTCTCGAGAGGTCGCATTGAAAATTAATAATTCTCCCGCTCGCTCTTAGATCTCCGACGAGGCAGCGGGCAATTTCCGGCGAACTTGGTACACGCCCGCGATGAATGGAAGCGGCCAATTTCCTGCGAAGCTCCCCGCGCTTGCTCGCTCGCTCGCTCGCAGGAAACGCTTCGGTTTCATGAGGCCTATTTACGCGCTGTGTGACATCGAGTTGTCGCGAATTTTTCATTATTTTATCTGTGCGGAATGTAGTTCTCTTTCGCTCTTCTCTCGTCCGAGGAGTCGAGTGAACGAGATCCAGGCGAGAGTATTCGCGCATAAAGAGAAGATTCTTTTTACGAATTTCCTTCCTTTTTCCGCGTTTTTCTTCTCGACTTTTTATTACAAGCGCTAATCGGTTCAGTTTTATTACATAACGGCATGGCGCATATATTCACAAAGATGGAGACACGTGAGCAATATCGGCTGAGGATTTCAGAACGCGTTACGTAACCGTGATGGTGACAAAGCTGAATATTACAGAGCGTAAATAGGACCATCACGTTCGTCGCAGCGACGCTCTGTTCTCCCTCGCGGCTTTTCTCCACATGAAACTCCAATTCTCTTTCTCTTTCTCTCTCTCTCTCGATTCGACCTCACACCATACGTGCCGACCGGTGCAATAACGGGACATCAGGGGCGTGTTATTGCCGTTTGTCATCGCGGATAAAAGTCTGTCCCGCGAAAACTTAACGTCCACGACGGGACATTAACCGTCCGGGAGATTTCTTCGTGGACGCGCCGAATTACGTTACGGGGGAATTTCTCGGCGGAGCGAGGAAAAATAATTTCTGGGCGAGTCTCCTGCCCTTTTTACGCCGCTTGTCGGTCGAATTAAATTTGTCGTTCGCCGGGGAAGTTATCTCCCGGTAGGACTCGCCGAGTTCGAGAGGGGACCTCCCTCGGTGAGCCTTAATGCGATGAAATTAACGAGGGCTCGACTTTTATTTAAGGGTGGAAGCGCGCGAAATCCTTAACAGCGGATCCTTAATACTGATCAGGCCTGGCTGTGAATGTCAAAGGGGCGTTGAGAATGTTGGATATTAAAATTAAACTTCGGCCGACCTCGTCGTAATTTTCGCCTTAGCGTCATGAAGTTTTCGCGCCAAGTATAAATTGTAGCATTTCGCCATGTACTTTTTTGCCACAAGCCGCTCGTTTTTATCTCTTACGCGAAAATCGATCGAAACTTTCGCTCGATTATATTTTTAATCGAGTGTGATTCTCGCTGAATATAAATTTTGTTAGATAATATCTCGGAGCTTCGACTGTTGGTACTCATTTCTCGTGAATATTTTCATGCAAATCATGAATCACGGTTCGCTGCGTTCTCGGTCCCTCATTAAAACGCGAGATTTCCGAAAAGGATGTTGATTCTGAAGCCGCGCCCGCGCGGCGTTTCCACCCTGCGATTCCATTTCTTGCACACACGCCTCACTTTCACGAGAATATATGAATAGCTGCGATATTGTAATGATATCATTGCGACGGGCGCGCGTCGCGTTTCGCACAGAACAAGACAACGTGGGCATATTTTACTTAAAAAGTCGTGATCGCGAATAAATATTGAACGTAAGCAAATATTTCCTCAAACAACCTCTCTCTCTCTCTCTCTCTCTTCGGCGTCTTAAGCAGCTGTTTTACGGGACGGAGAACGACGACGACTCGGCGAACGGCGATGTTTCATAATTAAGTTCTCTTCGAGTTGTTTGCTATTCTCGAAGCGCGCGACGCGCATTCACACGCACACTATCTATGTATATACACCTGAAATACCTACATATACACGTTCCCTCCCCACACATACCCATACACGAATAGACACGCATAGGACACACTCGTCGAATCAGAAGTACTCGTTTTCGTTCCTTGGCACGCCCGTCCCACCGCAATCGGTTTCGCATTACGTATTCCGTGGAATATGAATCCCAGGGGAACCTCGAGCGCGGCTGTGTCTCTCCCGTGCAGCCGGGAACTTCGTGCCCGAGAAGAAGAGCAAATGGACGTGGAAATCACGGCCGAAGGGACAGGGAGATACCGAGAGGCGGCACTGATTGAAATGCGAAAACTTTCGCGCCGACAAGACGGACGAGCGTGTACACGCGGCAGACACTAACAAACGATGTTTGCAATTATAATCCGCGCCTCCCCCTCTCGCCCTCACCCTCGCGTGCATCTTTCTCGCACCCCCGTTCAGCCTCTCCCATCCGCGCGTCGCATCGCGTCGCGTCTTTCCCCCGCGTGATTTCGCCGCGCCGCAACTTTCCGAGCGAGCCGCACGAACTCGGACGGTCGGCCCGGTGGTATTGCCTCCGTTTCATACGCTCCAATTGCATCGAGATATGACAGGACGAGGGAAACTCGTTGAAAATTATATTACAGCGCAAAACAAGGTGTTTCCATTTTTTATATGCTTTCCAGTGAAAAATTATTATTACGGGACAAATAAGAGAAAATACATGGCCGATAATCCGCCGCGTGCAGGCTTTGAACGTTTAAATACGAAGAAGAAATCCCGTGTGAGAATAAGCAACGAAAAATATATATGTTATATATAGTTAGCGACTTTCTGATTGTTTTCCCAAAGTAATGCGACATCCATGCGCATTTGGATTTCCACGACTCTGTAACGGTTAAAGATTCGTTGAAACGTCAGTTTGTCCGAACTGCTATCCCGATATGAAACAACCGTCGAAAAAAATTGTATCGACGTAACGTCGACGGTTATTACAACGAAGCGCAGTTACGATCTCTCATCGCCGGCGCTTATCATTCTCGCAGCGACGATCTGTCGTCGATGAAACGAAAGCACCCGACTCGACAATCCAATTTTCCTTCTCGTTACAATTCGCCCGTTCGTTGCGCTCGATGTCACCGATCGTCAACTCGTAACAAGATTCGAGTTTTTATCTCGTCATTTCCCGGTCGCGTCTCTTCACAGCTCGTAGTCAAGCTTAACGACTACCAAAGCTCACCAGCTTACCTGCTTATCGCCCAGCATGCCGATTTTGCAGTCCAGCAAGACGGTACTGCCGATCCTCGCGGTGATGTTCAGTTCCTGATCGCCGTCCTCGAAGTACGGCCCGAATTTCCCGTAGGCGCTGTCCACGCTGGGCAAGACGAACTTCCTGCCCGATAAGGGCCGGTGGGTGGTCGCGTGGAAGTGCTGCTCATGATCCATCTCGAGGGTCCTGATGGACGGTTTGATCTCGTAGAAGGCCTTGGTCGACTTGCCACTCAGGAGCAGGTTGTTCGCTGGTCTCGACTGATTCTTCCTCGACTCGCCGGGCTTCATCATCTCGTCGGTCTTCTCACTTTTGGTTCGCGCGACGCTGCTCTTACCCTGCTCGTCCCGATGAGCTTCCTCCTTAGCCTCCAACGGCGGCACTTGGAACGAAATCGCCCTGATGTCATCCACGTTCTTCTGCCCGCTGAATTTCGCTCCCGTCGCGTCTTCTTCCTCCTTATTCTCGTCCTCCTCTTCCTCCTCCTTCGCCTCCTCCATCGATACTATCGGCCAGTCGTCCTTGGCTTTCTCTATCGTGGACTCGTTCGTTCCTTGCGCGTCCTCGTGCTCCAGGATCGCCAACGCTTCCTCCGCTTGCTCCGAGTCCTCAATCCTCTTCGAAGCGGATATCGTCTGCTCGTCCGCATGCTTCTTGGACACATTCTCAGAATGAACCTCTGTTACGGTGACGAGCGAGTCCTTCCAGGTCGTGTACTCCATCGCGACTCCTTCGCGCGATGCGTTGTCGAGCGACCTTGTCAGGCCGGCCACGAGTCGAAGTCGTGAATCGGCTTGATCCCGTTGCGGCTTGTCGACGTGACGATCGTCTTCCTGACGGATCGCGAATGCGGATATCGTTTCCTCGAAGACCGCCGTATCGTTGTTGCCGTCGGCGTCGTCGTTGTTGTCGCGGAACCAAACGGTCTCCACGGTGTGATTCTTCGCGACGATCCTCTCGTCCTCTTGCCGGTCTTCCTCGTCGAGACGATTGACGCTACGCTCGATGACGCCGCTCTCCATTTCTGCGGAAGAAGCAAACGGACATGTTTACGGGCTCGAGTCGACGGATATATGTGTGTGTTTGTATGTGTGTGTGTGTGCGAGCGCGGTAGGTGGGTAATGTAAGAGTGAACGGGGCTTCGTCGCTCGTGTCGAGGGTGAATCGACACGCTGGCAAAGCGGACCGAGCGGCTCGGGATTTACGGCTCGGAACGAGCGCCCGGAATGATCTCCGACCGGGTGAGGATTTAAATGCGAACGCGAGAAGCGCGACCGAGGAGTTTTATAGGGCATTCAAGAGGTCTCGGTGGAAGACCAATAAATGGCCAATCAAGACCCCAGATCTAAGAATGTTATGAAGTAAGACGCCGCTTTTTGCTCTTCCAAGAGCTTCGGGAAGAAGTCGACGCAATAAGTTCAAATGTGTGTGCTAATTTATTTCTTTCTTGATAGACCAACAGTCTGTTTTATATGTACAATTACGTAAAAAAGAAAAAAATGAAACATCAAGCTAATGAAAATCGATGCAGGATATTCGTTACAAGTTTTATATCGTAATGAATATCCTGCGTTATTGGCTCTCATTGACTTGATGTTTTACTTTTAATATTGTATATTTAAAAGCTCTGATAAAAAAAGATCTTTGGCAAAAAATGGAAAAATATACGAAGTGAGGCCTTATGGGGAGGGTTTCCCAGGTGAATCGTGTCGAATTTTGCACTTGCAACCTCAACGAGCAGATTTAGCGCGATCGAAAACATGTTTTGTTGTTGTTTTTTGTTTTTTTTTTTTTAAGAGAACGACGAGAGAATATGGCGGCGTTAATACTCGTGTAAACTGCCCGATTGGGAAATATCGTTTCGGGGCACAGCGCGACTCGAAACAAAAGCCGGTGGTGGAGAATCTGCGCGCGACATTCTGTTCACTTGAAAACATACCGCGCGACGAGAGCCACGTGATAATAACGGCGGTGTATGTAATTCCTTTGTACGCGCGGGATAGCGGTGCGTATTTTTGTGAAACAAAAGTACCGGTTTACCTCCGCAGGAATTTCATTTCACGAGTGCGCGCGCAGTGTGTTCTTCGCGGTCGCGGTTTTATTCGCGAACAGCTCCGGGAAAAGTTTCCGGCGTAAGGTTTCGCTTTTCTGCGCGATTCCGATTTATGATCGAAGCCCGTTAAGGACGCCTGACGATAAGCAGCTCCTGTGAAAACTTCAATCGTCGCGATTCCATCGTCTGACAATTTCACATCATCACTATGCTCAGCAGTCTTTCCTGTACGTTCGCGTAATTTGTCCAAATAAAAGCAAAAGTCTTTCATTTGCGATAAAAAGGAGAATACGGAAAGTAAGGTTCAAGCGCGATTAAAAATAACGAGCATAAAGAGTCGATCGCGCGGTTAGGACAGGGGTTAGACTTACGAACAAAAATGTTGGAATTGCATGTCACGTATTCCCGACCAAAATTTGTTCAGCCGACAATTCCAAATTACGCATCCGCATCTGCGGTTTGGATCGCACTGGCCTGTTATATTTTGCTGGAGAGATACATGCAAATATTTGCAGGAAAGTTTTTGCATTATATGATACATTTTCACATGAATTTTCAGGCTCAGTCTGTGTGGATAAAAAAGTAGGTCATATAAGTATTTCTGTTCGGCTATATGTTTCCCAGTTGTAGCAAGTTTTATGTACAATTAGTGAGTCCCGCTCCTCTCCCCTCGTGTATCTATCGTGTGTTAGAATATAGAATAGAGTAGATTTATTGGATTTTGGTATGCGACATTCTCTGCAGTTATAAGAAGTATATATATTTTAACGATTATAATGTGTTAGATTATATAAAAGAGCTGTTCGGCTATATGTTTCCCAGTTGTAGCAAGTTTTATGTACAATTAGTGAGTCCCGCTCCTCTCCCCTCGTGTATTTATCGTGTATTAGAATATAGAATAGAGTAGATTTATTGGATTTTGGTATGCGACATTCTCTGCAGTTATAAGAAGTACATATATTTTAGCGATTATAATGTGTTAGATTATATAAAAGAGCGATTAGAATCTAAGAAACTTAAGAATTTTTAAAAAAAGAAAAATATAAAAAATAAGGGAGAAAAAAGAAAAACAAAGTAATCAGAAGAAACAAAGTAACTAAGAAAGAAATGAGTTTGCAAGTTGCGAAGGGTGAACAGTCACTTAAAACTAAAGATACATAATAATTTCAATCATTTTCATTGTGAAAGAGAGAGAAAGATCATTTTCTCTGCAATATACCTCAAACTGAAAGGAACCGGTAAAGGTTGCAGCTCTCCTGAATATTAACTTTCTTTTTAAGCGTCGGAACCACCCCCGAGGCGGATCTTGAGTGCCGTGCAACGGCCTGTGTATAGGATGCAACCGTCCCGAACGTAACGTGGCGAAACTCGCCGATATCTCGGCGATGCGTCGCGCGATATCTGGCAGTCGCAATCCTATTTACGCAAGTGGATATTGCGCCCGCGGTAGTAACGGTCGCGCGATGAATATAACGCCGTCCCGTTCCGTCCCGTCGTCGCTATATCTGTGCGTGGAGGATTATATAGGATCTCTATCTGTCGCGACTTCTATCACACGGTGCGCTATCTCCCTTCGTATCTTCTATTCTACCATTTCCGAGATGGCTGTATATCTTTATATAGTTCCTCGGGCGTCCGCTCTTCAATTTCCTACTTTTCTCGTCGTGGGACCGACCGCGCCGCTCCTCCTCCCCTCCCCGTTCCTTTTCATCATCCCCGCGACTCGTGGAAAATTGAAGATCGCACGGAGGGAAGGAACCGTAAGGGCCACCGTGTACTTTTCTGCTCTTGTCGTTACAAGCACGCCCTATCACTCGGAGCTTACGTTTCGACGTGTAAATTTCAGCCAGCGCCACCGCGCTAATTATCAGTCATTATTGTAGTGTTTTCAGCTCGTCGAGTCGTCAATTTCGTTAACGATCTGCGCAAATTGCCGGCTCGCGCACAACTGCTCGTTTGAGTCTCTCTCTCTCTCCCTCTTCTCTCTCTCTCTTTTTCTCTCGTTCAAAAATTATACTGATATCGCGACTTGTTTATCAAGGAAGAACCTTGTCAACAGTATTCGCTCGCAATTTATATGCAGCCAAAATTCGTACGGTTCAATTACTAGTTTTTAATCTCTCTTCACGGAGGAAGTATATTATAGTTTTTCCCTCATAGAAATACTTTTCAATTTTACTGAGTTTCCAGTAGTGCAGAAACAAAGATTGTCAGTAAGGCCTATCTTGCTAGAAAATTTCGCTAGAAACATAGCGAATCTTTCAACAACGCATTTTAGTTCCTAAGATATAAACGGTATATACGAAATGAAAGAATAATGAGTCGCAGTATATCGATCTGCTCCTCAATCATCAGCTGCAAAATTCTACACTTATTTTCATCGTACAATTTCCTCCGTGTTCAATGTATATATATATATATATATATATATATATATATATATATATATATATATAATCGCTAAAATATATATACTCGCTAAAATATATATAATCGCTAAAATATATATACTTCTTATAACTGCAGAGAATGTCGCATACCAAAATCCAATAAATCTACTCTATTCTATATTCTAATACACGATAAATGTCACGATAAATACACAAGGGGAGAGGAGCAGGACTCACTAATTGTACATAAAACTTGCTACAACTGGGAAACATATAGCCGAACAGCTCTTTTATATAATCTAACACATTATAATCGCTAAAATATATGTACTTCTTATAACTGCAGAGAATGTCGCATACCAAAATCCAATAAATCTACTCTATTCTATATTCTAATACACGATAAATGTCACGATAAATACACAAGGGGAGAGGAGCAGGACTCACTAATTGTACATAAAACTTGCTACAACTGGGAAACATATAGCCGAACAGCTCTTTTATATATATATATATATATATATATATATATATATATATATAACGTATTAATATTTTTTAAATATTTTAAAGGTTTTGTGTTTCCAAGCATTACACGTTGGACAATATCCCGGATTGCACCCGCGCTACTCTGTTGCGCGACTTAGATTTCCATGTTTGACAATGTTTTTTGATAGCGCCCAACTCGGCGATGACACGTGCAGTTTCGTAGGGGATCACGAAAATCTCCGTTTCGGCCGGTCATCCGGCAGCAACGCACACGTCAGCAATATTTGGCAACGGCGATCTTGTTTACGCGAGTCGATATTGCCGGCCACACCGACATAGCAGCTGCTGTAATGGCGGTGGCAACTGCAACTGCAACGGCAACGCGACGGACGCGACGTGACGCTCGTTCGTTCGTCGTTCCGAAGCAATTTAGCGCGCGCTTTGCGTCGCGAGTGATCGATCGATCGTGTCGGGCGACGTCGTGTAATTTTGGCCGCCGACGTCCGTAATGATTTATAAAACGACGGGCGTTGCGCGCGGGAATCCGTCGAGTTCGGCTTGATTCTTACGCGAGGAATTTCGCCGAGAAGCGAAGGCCGATCGACACTTTGATCCTGTGATACATCAATGGGCGATTTATCGACTGGCATCGTTACATTGCGATTTATCGGAATCACCCATAAGTAATCAAGTATTTGCAAGACTTTTATTCCTATCAGTTTCCTACTGTGTAGTGCATAAACTGTATTTTTTCATGGGCTCTTTGGATAAAGTATCCAACTCGTTATATGATTAATTAAGAAACAAAGGATTTAAAAATAAAATGAAAGCTTTGTTTGTAATTTTTAAGTGTGTTTCATTCTGAAATATTCGATTACTTATACACGGAGAGAATAAAAATTGCAACACAATTCTTGTAATTTTCTATCATAGAATCCGATCGACATGTATTTCTTTTTTCCAAAATGTTATGCAAATTTTTACTAATCAAAGTATTCCAATTACTTGAATATTTTTTATATCGTATTTTATATTCGGGATGGATCTCACGGATCAAATTAACTATTTTTAGAATAACTTATACTACAGTTTCGATACAATCCTTTACAAAAGCTTTACAAAAGACATTCTAACCTAATTTTCTCCGTACCGACACTTCCCAATATTTATCCATATTCTCGGCTAAAAGACGGCGGGGGTTGGAGGGCGAGGGGGAGAGTTGCACTCGTAATGAAATATTTCCGGGAGCAAATCAGCTCGAAAGCAAAGTTCCGTCCGACTCGTCCCAGAGCGTATTCCGATTCCGCTCGATTAACTTCGGATGGTGTTATCCCGAGTTCTATCGGCGTATTAATCTTCGCCAGGGCGAGATTACACGTATTATTATTCGCGACGGACCGATCCTCCGCGAGCGTGTCCCGAATAACACCCCCTCTCTCGGCGGTGGCGCCGCAGATAAGGGTTCTCGCTCTGGTCTCGGGTTTTGTTGCCGCCGGTCTCATCCCTTGCCGTGCACATAGCGAGGAGCTTTTTCCACAATCTCGCGGGCCTGAATGATCGCGCGCGGGTGATTGATCGCGCACCTCGCAATATCGGCGGCTCGGGCGGCGCTTAAAAGCTCCCGACTGCCCCCTCCTTCTCTCTCTCTCTCTCTCTCTCTCTCTCTCTCTCTCTCTATCTATCTCTTTCTCTCTCTGGGTGTAAGTGAATCGCCCGAAATTTCGGCGATTAGCCGGTGCGATGTAGGGCGCAGCGAAATGAAGACACTTCGCGTTTGTTCCTCATGATTGATAGCCTCCGGTCGGCGGCGGCGGAGGTGTAACCGTTGCATAAGTAACGTTTCATCATTTTTCATTCGCCGCGTTCGCGCGAATTTCGCGCCTAATTCCCCCTTTCTCCCTAGCAGACCGGGAGCGTGTTTTTAGCCGCGGGATCGAAGCGACCGGGCGAAGCGTGCAGAAGTAACGCGCCCATGTGCGCGCACCTATCTCCGCGCAATTTGTCAGCGGGGATTTACGCGTGTCACGTGTGATAGACAAATTTGCGGGACGTGCGGAGAAGGAAATTTCTCGGATTATTCCTGCGACCGCGACGGATGCACTTCCCGGCGAGCACCGGGTCTTTTCGGAGGTTTGCGTTAAAAATGAGTCCGCGGAGCGGAGATCGCGAATCGTAAGTGACATTGACGTTTTCGCGAAACGGTGGTTCCGAGAGGAGATTTCAGATTTGTACGTGAACGTTTTGTCCCAGTTGCGTCCACGGACGCATAAATTTCAGATTTGTCATCGGTATTTTTTTCGTAACTCTCCGTCTGCTTCTCTGTCTTTCGCTAACGCGATTTTACTTCGTGGACAGTTCTATTCCTCTCGTCACGAATGAGTGAAAAAAACTGAGCTAAAAAGTTTTCTTATCATTCCAGATTTCTATTTTCCAATCAGAACGTCCAGTCAAACGCCGTGAATATTTGAAGCTTTTCGCAAAATCAGACAATTTAAATTTCGACTATTTTCAAAAATGATTCACACGGAACAGACGGAGGGTTCAAGAATATCATAACCTAACCGGTCTCCCCCCTGCTCGTCGCATTTTATTGCAAGAGGCAACTGGTATGTTTGGAAACGGCTCTTGGATAATTGGACAAATATTAGTCTAGTTTCGTAGGAGCAAATGGAATTATCGAGGAACTCAGAAATTACAAATAGAACTGGATAGATCTGATGATTTGTATGAACAAAAGTCGAGCTATTCAGATGGATTAAGCGAGTAGTAAAGTTGTAAGTATAGGCGAGTCAGTAATATGAGTTACAAATTAGAGCTGATAAGTCAAATAACAAGTCGGATAGCTTCTCTATTCTTTACTTCATCGATTAAAATCATCTCGCGATGTAAACTTTTGTAAACCAGATTTTCCTTTTCTCATGGGAGAAGAAATCAAACGTTCTCTTTGCATTTCTTTGTGTTTTCGACAAAAAAGCCCAAAATCATTCGGGCTAGACTGGTGCTCGCTATTTGCGTTCCTTTGAGATCAATGTGCAGAGTGCAAAAATAATACCACATTTATCCGCGATACTGTCGCACTACGTCGGCTGATGCCCGACATTAAGATGCCGCGCAATCTCGTTGTTCGGTGCTTTCCAGTTTTGTAGGGTGCGTGCAAGTGCGCGAAAGGGCGTACGCCTACAAAATGATGATTGCTAGGAAGGGCAAGAAAGTAAATTCCAGTGGGGTTATCTTCACGAGGTCGTACGGAAACAACGGTACAAAAGAGTTTCGCTCTCTTTATCCCGCCGGGCACGGTCGTTCCCCGTTGTTACGACTCGGCGCTTACGGCGCAGTTAGGCATTCAGCTTAATTAAAAATCCTCGCGTCCCGATAAACTAAGACGGACGAAAGCGTTCGTTTGCTCGTAACAATATTGCACTGTGAGATTATTCGACCGTAAACCGTTTCGCAAATTCATAACGACGGACAGCGTGGAGTGGCTCGAATTTATAGCGCGGAGATTGCCTTTAACTTCGCGATATAATCCGCGGAAAATATTCGTAAATTCCAAACACTGCATCTCGCTTGATTAATTCTCGATGGCTCTCCGTAATGCGTGTTATAATGAACGCTTGCAGGATTCTCTGTTACCACTTGATGTTTAATTCAATTTTAATAACGTGTCGAGAGATGTACATAATTTAAAGGAAACTAAATCTTTATTGTTGCATAATGCATGCGCATTATAGACAATTCAGCATTCAGAGAAAAAATATCCATGAAATAAAGGATATTTATTCGGTGGATACTAATATATAACACATTTTTACTTATATTAATATATAAAATATCTTTTAAATAAGAAAATAAACATTTATTTTAAACCAAGTGATTTGTTTCAAATCATAGCTTGTCATGAAAGAAATTGTTTATTTTATTTAAATAAAAGAATCTATAACACAACAGTTAGTTTATTATATGTATTTTAAGATTTAAATAAATGTGTGTTTTTTTATATTAGTACTCATTGAATATTTTTCGTTTTTCACATATCTTTTTCCTCTCAGTAGATAATATTTAATTCCATCGGTAATTCTTTCAGTCTGTAATTCTTTCACACATGATAATAATAAATTAATTTTATATATATTAATTTTTATATATTCCAACATATATGGAATCAAATTATTATATGCAGAAAAAACGACAAAATTTACGATAAAATTAGATAATGTTAATTCAATATTCCTATAATTAAATTATCTCGCAGACAATCGTCGTTTTTTAGCGAACAATCTGTTAACGAAGATATCAGGCTATAAAATTTCAGGTAACGAGGTGGAATGCATCAAAATTGCGTTTACCTGACGCAGTGACGGTGATCATGACGGAGACAATGGCGATGACGCCGAGCACCCAGGCGGTCGGCCGCATCCTCCAACCGGTCATCTCGAGGATCCGCGCGGTCTCAGCCTCCCTCAGGAATCTGCTCCATCTCGTTCATCTTTCCTCTGCGCAAGACACGAAATAGCCGCGTTAATTTTCCGCCTTTCACGTAAGTGCTCTCGCGGATTTGGAGAGAACCGCTCTCTCTCTCTCTCTCTCTCTCTCTCTCCCGAAGCCGACGCGTTTCTTGGTTAATTGTGCTCATTCGCCGGATCCGACTCTAGACACGGGGGTGTGTTTTCGAGTATCACGAGGCTACTGGGGATAGAAGTACCCGAGAGAAGGCAGATACGTCTCGGTTTCGTGGCTTCTCATCACTTCGTGGTTTCGTATCTGCGATTAAATTTGCTTTCATGTTCTCGAGATTGATGCTCGATTAATCCAGAGAACTCTTTGAGGTTGAGGAAAAGGGCGGACTTGCCTCTTCGCAAAAAAACGTAAAATTACCCGTCGCGACGATATCGCCCAGGAAACAGCGATTTCGCTTCATTTTACGACGGATGGCGGACTAGAAGGTTCGGACTGCGTCGTACCGAGCTTCTTGGCTGGGCGTTCTTTTAAAAAGATCCGCGGAAAAGTAGGCGTCGTAACTTTTACTGCGTCGCCGCTCAAGTTTTAATCGCCGATTGTTGATAAGGCGCTGTAACATTGATAGATATCGACGTCGCCGACGTCGTTCTGGTATAAAAATTACGATCGTGCGATCACCCTCTTTATAGTTTTCTTCTTATCTATTTGCGTCTCCTTTCGTTCCTCTTAACGTTACTTCACGCGGGATGAATCGTAAGGACCAACGTGTTATTTGCACGAGACACAATAGAGGTTTGTTCAATCGAATACTGATCCAGTTACTTAGGTATGACAGTTTAATTCTTCACACCGTGAAATTATAAAAGCTACTGTTATAAGAACACTATCACAGAGTGAAATTAAAGTTTTAGGTGGATTTCTAATTAAATCATAAATTGACCTAAAACTTTCATTTCTTATTTGATTTAAAAATTTATTTGGTCTTATTTCGCTTTCATAAATTTTTTTTGTCTTTCTTTTCTAAGACGACACACTCGACTTTTGCTGTTTCACATATTACGATTGATTCTATATTCTCTTCCCTACAAGCTGGTGTTACTTTGCTTAGGTAACTTTACGCTAAATCCCGCAACGTTTTACTGTAAATTAAGAAATAAGCAACAGTTTGTATTGGCTTTGTGAGAGGACGTTACGAGTGGTATGCGAGGTGTCTCCCTCAAGAGCCGTTTGACGCGAAAGCGACAAATAGTGTCGCGTAACCTGCCCTTGGCATCGCGGCAATAATCACAGTTACTGAACAACTTTAAGCGGCCGTTGCGGAGTTAAACGAGTACGGCTCCGACGTGTTTTGTCAGGAATGTCAGTTGCGAACTGTCTCCAGTTTCGCCGGTATTAATTGGCATGACTGAACGACACGTGAGTTACACAAGGCAGATCCGCAGATGCGACGCGGAAACCGGTAGTTATATCTATCTCGTGAATGGAAGACGTGGTGTTCACATAATGAATCGATTCTTCGTATAAGTCTAGTGACGGGAGCATTTCTCTACACTTTAAGAAGAAAAATATCTGAGAAATAAATCATGTTTATTCGCAATCATCACTAACAACATATTATACTGATATAAAACATATTTCAAATAAGAAAATTACGTTTTCTTGAAACTTTAATTTTGTTTCACGAAAGCAATTTATTATATTTAAATAACTTAGATTGAAGAAAATATGTTACTAGTACCCATCGCGAATAAATACTTTTTAGTTCTCAGATATTCTTGCTCTTATCAGAAAATCGTATCTTTTGTCATTCAGTTTCATGTTTCCAAAAAACTAAAAAAGCCATTACAAAGTTTCAAAGTTTCTGCGTTTCTTTCCTCTGTCTTCTAACAACTTTTACAACCATTGAATTGTGTCGCTAAAATGATCGTGACTGTATTATCGATCTTTCTCTCCCTGCTCTCTTCTTCTCAAATGCTGGAGCATATGATAGATAGTGATAGATCGTTGTCCCGAGTAATTCCTGTAATCTGTCTGTATCTAAAATCTCTCGTCATATATGATTTTTTATCATCCCCCGGATGGTAACTCGAATCGCTTACGATGCATCATTAAATAGTAGCTTAGCCAGACGCGATCGCGGTGTCGGAGGAAACGATCGGTCGTAATGGTCTCTGCAGCGCGTCGCATAGATAATGAATGTCGAGAGGCGTTTGCCATGCGTAGAAGCTAGTTCCGTTCAGCAATCACTCCGCTGTGCATTCAGTCGGATTTCCTGCATTGTTTCAAGAGGGGACGCATTGGTCAATGTCACTAAATCGAAGTGATGGCTTTTACCTATGCGCGGTAATTTGTCGATGATACGGTCGGTGTAATTAGCGAAATAACGTGTCAAAAGTAGAAAATATATGACGTGCCGCCTATTAAAGGTAAAAAGAAAAGAAGGAAATAGATAAGAATGAGCGCGTGGCGTTTAACGAGGGTTGACAGTCAGGATCGTGCAAATGAACAAACCTGATAAATAAATATTCGAGATCACGCGAAGTAGTAATATGTCTGTCTCGTTGAAAAAATTACACAATGAGAGAAAAATATCTAAAAATTAGCAAATACTTTTTATGCGTACTAACGGCACACATATTGACTTCAATTTAATATTTCTTTTCTGTCTACTATTTCTTAGATATTTTTTTTCTCGTCGGAATCAAACAAAGAAGAATCCACGCGGCTCAAATCCGGAAATCAAATCTAATATTTTTCTCTCTCAGTGTAGATACATTGTCGGTTTTATATTCATCGTTTTTTATCCGCATTTGCGTCTGCAGAGTATCGTTCCGTGTATCGCGTATTATATACATTTTATTCTGTTCTTCGCGGCGTGTGATTGTTTAATAGCTGCCAGAGTTTTTACGATACACGCGCGCAGCCGATGCGTCGGCGCGATCCACCGCGTTATTACACGGCTTCCGTTAATCGTTAGCGCGGGGACGGTATTTATTTCCGGCGAGCGAAAAATTCGGGACTGCATTAAAATTTATTGAATCATGGCGACGTGAATATATCCGGCCTGTGGAATGACACAAGATATTCCCGAATTTTCGAGAACGTGCGACATAAATATTTCGTTTCATTTATTTATTACAACTTATTGCGCGCGTGCGTCTGTTCGCGTGTGTGTTGGTCCGTTGTTGACGCCACTGCGTTCTAGCTGTAAATCAAAGATCACGGATCAACAACGGAGACTCGCGGATCGCGCAGTTCCGGCTGAAAGTCACTTCGGTTCTTGCGGAATAATTAGAACCGTGGTGCATTAGAAGCTTTCGCCGAACGAACGACAGCGTCGCGACCGTGCGGAGCCGGCGGGATCGTAATGTAACTTGGCGCGCTCTCGAAACTTGCCGCGAATTCATTGCTTCCTTAAACGTAGCCAGTCGGGGCAAGTTGTCGCGCACATAATCGCAATTAAACGATAGCACGTCGTAGCCGTGATCGCGCACGATCGTTCATCTAACTTCGTTACGAGTTCGGGCGGATCGTTTCGACCGTTCGATTTGACAATTAAGGGCACGGCGAACGTTTCTGTGTACGATCGCGGTTAGATCTTAACACTTGGAACTGAACGCATCCAGACATTCGGGTGTACTCAGAAATCCTATTAAGGGACTATTTCCGATAAATAATTTCTCACAGCTAAAGTAATTTCTTAAATACACTCAAAAATATACCCAGAAATCTAGCGATGGATTGTTTTCGTAGTAGTAATTTCTTGAAGCAAAGAAACGTGATTGATACGAAAATAAACTGCCTGAGCTACATTCGAATATCATTATAGTCGGCGCGTCTCAATCGCGTTCAGACTTGCGTAAACGGCCCTTAATTGAGACTCAAGCGCATCAATTGCGGATTACACAGTTTCAGTTACGAGTTCCGCGTACACGATCACATCAAAATCAATAATTCGATATACACTTTTTGGATCTTGCCTTGACACGATTTCAACATTAACCGACCAAAGTGTCAAACGTTAAAATCAAGGCTGATGTTCACTGTTTTGCCATCATCACTGCGAGGAAGAATCTGCGGAGGGAATTATCGGGACGAGAAGCTTTGACCGTGCATGAATTAGTCACGAGCTACGGCGGACAAATGTCCGGCACGATAGGCACGGTTATCGCAGCTCCGGACGGAGGATGCCCGAGGACGAGTCTGCCAATTATAATATTTAATCAGACGTACGTAATTATACGTACGAGAGAGAGTACAGTGCGCGGCCGGGCGGGCGTATGTACGCCGCCACTTACCACCGGAGTCGAGACGGAACGAGATTCGCCGAGCCAGAGAAGTCAAATATTCGTATAGATATGATTGCACAATTCTACTCGGTCTCGCGTGGCATTTCGGGGATTCCTGTGAAAACTTTGATCCCGGAGCTCCCGCGTCTCCTTTGATCCACGGGCTCTTCTTCCTCTGTTCCCCCTCCCCCCTCTCTCTCTCCCTCCCTCCCTCTCTCTCTCTCTCTCCTTCCCTTTCTCTCTCTCTCTCTCTCTCTCTCTCTCTCTCTTTCTCTATGCACAAGCGTCGTAATAGTAAATCAACTGTACACTACGTGCGAGTTAAACGGCGGAATTACGCGTTTACCTTACTCTCGCCTCGATACCAGAGTACACATATTATTCATTCGTACGAGCTAATCTTTACACGCTCCCACAGCATTAGATTACGTTACATTACGCTGCATTACGTTGCGTTGCAGCGCGCGCGGTTTGCACAGCCTCCGAGCGCAAGATGATACAGGATATTATTTAACAAACGCGAACCTCTCCGCGAGTTAAAGATTATTTACCAAGAGAGTGTGCTTAACTCTCAAACTATGCGGATTTGCATCGCGCACGCGGTACCTGTGTTCGATCTACACTTCTCCTCTTGCCCTCAAATAGAAATTACGTAGGTGTGTTTATAACGAGAATAAATTCCGCAGGTTGAAACTCATGGAGATCCTCTCGCGATCAATCGCGAGAGGGTAAACTAATAACTTCTA